CACCTCTAGTGACAGTCACCCAGACACCACTAGAGGTGCTTCCTAGTCCAATGCTGCACATTGTGCAGCACCTACGCTCCACGTCTCCGCACTCTGCATGGAGGTGCTGAATGACCCCCTTAGAGATGCATTGATCCAATGCATATCTATGATGAGCTACTAATTAGTGCTCCATGACTTTTCGCAACTTGCACACAATAACATTCCAATGCTTTCTTATGGGAAAGCATCGAATTTGCTCAGATTATTCAAGATTGGTAATCTCAGCCATGGAGGCAGAGCCAGGTGGAGCCAGCCGCGGCGATACCGCAGAGGCGAGAGAGAAAAGATCACCTTATTTATGTACAGAGAAGGGACCGGGGACCCTAAAAGATAGTCTAAAACTATATTGTTAGGAATACATGTTTGAATTCCTAAAACGATAGTGTTCTCTTCAAGTATAAGCCTGTTTTTTTACACCAGCTATTAGAGTGCAACATTAAATATATATTAAGGAAATATCTTGCACTTTTCTCTTTAAATGACTTTTCATCTTCTTATTTTTTTAATCTTGTTATATTATATTGCCAATAAACATATTATATTGCCAATACACAAATTCATTGCAGCTCATTGTTCAGGTTAACCCTGCAATGAGCTGTAAGGGAACAGCATGGGAGACTCATAGCTCCATGGTTTTGGACTTTGCGCCAGAATAAAATCCACTGGCAAACTGTCGAGAAATCCGAGCTTTATTTTAAAGCGGGGACTACAATTCAGTCAGACAACTGATCTTGCTGAGAACAAATCAGAGACATTCCCTTCTCGGGTTCCTACATATTGATTTTGCCATGGGGTTTCCACCTGTTTAAAACGTGCCTATTTTATATTCTGGGATATCATTCAGAAAATATTTGCCTTGGAAGTTATAACAAAGCAATAATTCCACAGCTACAATTGTTTAATGATCCTCAGTTAAAAATATTTTCTTTCACATACTTTAACTAGACAAGGAATATGATCCACTGAATTCCCTTAAGACTGCTTTACTATAGCCACTGCTGATTCCTAAGTACTGAAAAGACTGGTACATTGCTAATATTTAGATACACAACACTATGTAAACCAGGATAACACTGCCACTGAATATAAAGGTGTCGACCGAGGAAGAAGACATTTTATAATAATAAATATAGCAACAGTAAGCAAGAATTTAAAATGATAGTCTTTCAAGTAAAAAAAAACATGCCCTTCAATTTAATTTATTTAATTAAAAACATTTTTCTTATTATTTCTTAGATAGTCTGACAAAATATAGATAGAATGATAGATAAATAGATAGGTTTTCTATAAGATACGTTTGTCTTTCTTTCTTTCTTTCTTTCCCTGCTTACTCTTTTCAGAGTCCATGGGGAAGTGCTGTCAAGGCACAAAACACATTAGCTACCCCGTGTCTTGTTATCACTTTGCTTATTTTCACTATGATGTATTAAGCTACATTTTCTATTTGTACCTGAACTAGTTAAGATTCTCACTTTTTTCACTTTGTATAGAATTTATACTTGAGCATTTGGTGGTTTATAGCTGGAGAAGGACCTGCGGTTGTCTTCCAATGAAGATTGTGGTCACCTGCAAGATTGTGGTCACCTTGTTATTATTATGTTATTATTTATATAGCGCCAACAAATTCCGCAGCGCTTTACAGTGGGTGGATGAACAAACATGTAGTTGTGACTAGACAAGTTGGACACACAGGAACAGAGGGGTTGAGGGCCCTGCTCAATGAGCTTACATTCTAGAGGGAGTGGGGTAAAGTGACACAAAAGTTAAGGATAGTATTAGACTAATGACAGTTGCAAGAGAGGAATCAGTCCCGAGCTAGTAACAGTTTAATTGATACGCTTTTATGAAGAAGTGGGTTTTTAATGATTTTTTGAAGGAGTGGAGACTCGGTGAGCATCTAACGGAGGAGGGAAGTGAGTTCCACAGGAAGGGTGCAGCCCTCGAGAAGTCTTGAAGGTGAGCATCAAAGATGGGAGTACGGACAGAAGATAGACATAAGTCTTCAGCAGAGCGTAAGGTCCTAGACGGGACATACTAGTGTATTAGGGAGGAGTTAAGACTAACTCCTACCCAGGGCCAGCCCATCCATAGACCGCTGTGGGGCCATGGCTCCAGGCAGCACCCTCACAGGGGCAGCATTTTACAACCCCTGTCATCATCTATGACGGGGGTTCCCGAGGTCCATCAGGGTCCATAAGGGTCACAACACTATGTAAACAAGGATAACACTGCCACTGAATGGCCTTAGGGCCACCTTATGGATATGTGCAATGAGGGGCCAAGCCGTGCACTGCAGCGCTCTATCAGCACGACCGGGCCTCTTCATAATTTCAGGGAAAGCTGGGAGGAAGTGACAGCGTATCACTTCCTCCCAGCTCACTGACACGTCTGTTACAAAAGACTGAAACTAACTATGTTACTGTTTGCTAACCGATGGATACTGTTTGTCCCTGGCTAAGTTTAAAGCCAAAAGACGCACGAACTGATTATCCGAACCATTATAAAGGACTCATTCGTGATACGAACAGGGGACCCCCCAGAATTGGCGTGTGCCGCCACTTAACCCCGTCACCCCGCAAACTGCCGAACGCTCTACCACCCAGGCAGCTGCGGTTTGCGGTTAACCACAACGTAATTGATAAGCCTGGGGGCATCAACGTTCGCCTCTAAATACCGAACGGAATCCACCGAACTAACAACCGAACGACGACCCCCTACCATGGGCCGCGTGGCGGTCATTAACTTGTGGTTGCTGCGGTTAACCGCAAGTCAAGTACCCTGCTACCAGGTGGCCCCATTCCCTTACCGAACGAGCCCCACTACCAGACAAACAGCGGGACTTCGCATGAACTGATGCCGAGTTTAGTTCCAGGAGTTAGACACGAAGTCCCGCTGCTCGCTAAATCAGCAGAAAACATGGCCGCCAACCAACACTCACAATCTCAAAATGCCGAAGGGACTTTATACAGCAGGAACAGTCCATTCTGTTTGTGAGATTAGAGCGCCATTCGCCTGTTTTATCTATACAAACGCGAGCCTTCAGCTGAATGGTAGAATGAATGGTTTTCCTGTAATAATGTATAAGTTATGGATTTTTATGTAGTTTTCTGGGACATAATAAAACGTGGTCTTTTGTGTGCTTGGAGATAATTAGATTGTAAAACCGTTGGCCTCATTATCTCCAAGCTGGGCGGGTACTAATTCAAATGATACAGTGTACTGTGATTGGTTACCTGTTTGTACTGTACCTGTATTCCATCAGGTCCACAGGGGGCTGTCCTTGGACCTGAGGAATCACATAAATTGCCATGCTATGTGCCAGTAAAGCCAGTTCGTTTTTGACCCTCAACTTGCAGCCTCGACTCATGTTGTAGGGATCCGGGATATTGATGCTTATTTCGTGCTTGGGGATATTCTACACTTGCAGCTTGCTACCGAAAGACCTCCGTTCGACTCTCTACAGCGGGAACCAGGACATCCAAGCGATCAACCCTCCTGCTAGACTGGGGGCAATCGTAACAATTGGTGGCAGCGGTGGGATCATCCTGGCATTCCTGAGAGAGATATATAAGACGGATGGAGAGCAACTACGATAAGCTGAAGCGTACCACACTAAAGGATTTACTGGAGAGCCGTGGGGGAAACGCAAGTAACCGGCCGAGAAGGGAATTGATTGCGACCTAAACGAGTTGGATCTAAGCTTCACTATGGCAGAACCGACGGTAACCCCCAGCGATGAAAAGACGAGGATTGTCCGGGAAAGGCTGCCTCTATACGGGCCGAACCCCTCCATAGAGCTGGTGCAGCAACTGATGGCAGAAGCCGAGGCGGACATACAGCGGGCACGAGCTCACGAGCTGAACCTGGTGACCGCACAGCAAGGGGGCACCGCTAATAGCCACACGGGCTCCCCGGAGACTACAGAACAGCCGAAAATTCCGTTTGCGGCATTCAAGCCATTCGCGGAAAACGAGATGGGGATAGATGAATTTTTGGCAGATTTCGAAAGACAGTGTGCTCTGCATCAGATCCCCGTATCAGCGTGGCCACGTATCCTGGCAGGAAAGTTAACCGGGCGGGCCACGGAAGCTTTCAGGACACTCAGCGCCGAAGAGGTAGCCCAGTATCCCACAGTGAAGGAGACGCTACTAAAGCGGTACGCTGTGACCCCAGACACTTACAGAAGGCAGTTCCGCAACACAAAGAAAAAACGAATGACACACATGCCGAATGGGCACACCGCATGCGGAGAGCTGCTACCGACTGGATTACCGGGTGTCGGGCCGTCACAGCCACGGAAATATTGGAACTTTTCTTGTTAGAACATTTTTATGAGGGTCTGGAACAAAAAGACCGGGAGTGGTTGAAGGACCGGCGTCCCGCTAACCTACACGAAGCAGCCCGGTTGGCAGACGAACACCGGGATGCGCAAGTACAGGAGTTCAGTACTGCCCAAACGGTAACTCGCCCCGAAGCAAGAGAGGGGTACCGACCATCTCCACGAACGGAGTTTCGCAACCCTGTACCCGCAGGTCATATACGGTACACGGGGCCACCCAGCCACTACCCTCAGGAACGCTCCCGACCCACATGTTATAAGTGCAAGCAACCGGGGCACCTGATAGCGAGTTGCCCCCTCAACAACAATTACCCCGCACGGAACTATAACTCCTCTCCAACGGGAAACAATCGTCCCGCTCGAGCGTTTTGCCTGGAACAAGACAGCCCTTTAGAAGAGTACCTGGGACCCCTACATGAAGCTAATCCTGTGTATGCCGCCAGTGACAATAGACAACACCACCGGCAAGAGGTACTACTAGAGGGTCGTCCCACACAGGGGTTAAGAGACACCGGGGCCACGATCACCTTAGTACAAAGCCGGTTAGTCCCCGAATACAAACGCTCTCCTGACACAGTGGCTGTCCGGGTGGCTGGCGGGGACATATACAAACTACCCACAGCAAAGGTACACTTGGATTGGGGTGCGGGAAAAGGACTTGTGAGGGTGGGAATTATGGATAATTTGCCAGCCGAAGTTTTGCTGGGAAACGACCTGGGACCTATGACTTCAGCTTATGCCCCTTCTTACAACGCTGAGGCACATCCCGTGACCACCCGGTCACAAGCAGGACGAGTACGAGACCCTTCACCAGTGCGGGAGGCTCAGGTAAGACTTAACCCGACTGTGACCACCCCTCCTACCCCTTTGCCCTGGGACACCCCTGCAGCCTTTGAGGCTGAGACCAAAATGGATCCGACGCTCCAAAAATATAGGGAACGGGTTGACACAGGGGCTGGGGGACCAGACCAGGAGACTTTTGCATGGGAACAGGGCCGACTGTACCGACACACAGAGAAAAAGGGCCACCGGAGGAGGCAGTTAGTAATACCCCACAAGTATAGGCGGGATATCCTCCGGGTGGGTCATGATATTCCCTTAGCCGGGCACCTGACAGTAACCCGTACCCTGCACCGTATTACCCATACCTTGTTCTGGCCAGGAGTACATGCCGATGTAAGGTCCTATTGTAATACGTGTGAGGTATGCCAACGGGTAGGCAAATGAGGAGACCACCCCAAGGCACACCTCGTGAACATGCCCATTATCGATGAGCCATTTAGCCGGGTAGCCATCGACTTAGTCGGCCCCCTAGCTACCCCTAGTCCCTCTGGCAAGAGATACATTCTCACCATAGTAGATTACGCTACCCGCTACCCAGAAGCTGTGGCTTTATCTAATATCCAGGCTGACACAGTGGCTAATGCCTTAGTACAGGTATTCTCTCGGGTAGGATTCCCTAGGGAGATCCTATCCGACAGAGGATCACAGTTCACGGCAGAGCTGACCCAGCAGCTATGGCACGTTTGTAAAATAAAGTCCCTGATTAGCTCTCCGTACCACCCCCAGACCAATGGGTTATGTGAGCGGTTCAACAGAACCCTCAAGCAGATGTTAAAAACCTTTACTCAGGAGTATAGGGACTGGGAACGTTTCCTGCCGCACCTCCTGTTCGCTTACCGGGAAGTGCCCCAGGAAACCACCGGGTTCTCTCCCTTTGAGCTGTTATACGGTCGCAAGGTACGGAGTCCCCTGAACCTGATCCGTGAGCACTGGGAGGGAGAGACCGAGAACGCCGGGGTCCCCATCGTACCTTACGTACTGGAACTCTGGGACCAAATGGAGCAATTGGCTAAGTCAGTCCAGGCCAATCTCCAGGCGGCCCAGGGGCGACAGAAAGTCTGGTATGACCGGGGGGCACGACGAAGAAGCTTCTGTCTCGGGCAGAAAGTCATGGTACTAAAACCAATTAAGGCAGACAAGCTACAGGCAGCCTGGCAGGGTCCCTACCAGATAGTGGAAAAGAGAGGGGACACCACTTATGTAATTGCCAAATGTCACGATGAAAACTTAAGAAAGATCTTTCACGTGAACATGCTGAAGGAATACTTGCAGAGACCCGAGGAAGTGTCAGCCATATGTAGCCCTGCTCACGAGGACACAGATAGTCTCCCCATACCCGACTTATTAACCCCTAAATCCCCGGCTGAAATAGTGAGCCAAGTGCAGATTGGGGACAGACTTAGCCCAGTTGAGAGGGAGCAGCTACACAAACTTCTCCGAGAGAAACAAGCCATGTTCTCCCAAGAACCAGGGTACACTGAGCTGACCACGCACCAAGTAGATACCCCCGGCCAAAACCCCTTGAGACAGGCGCCCTACCGAATTCCAGAGGCAGTAAGGACAGGCATGAAAAGAGAAATAGATGAGATGCTGCGTCTAGGGGTCATTGAAGCTTCCGATAGCCCCTGGGCATCCCCGGTGGTTCTGGTCCCCAAAAAGGATGGCACCACCAGATTCTGTGTGGACTACCGGAAACAAAACTGTCACCGATGCCTACCCCATGCCCAGAGTGGATGAGCTGCTAGATCGCATAGCCAGGGGGAACTACCTAACTACGATTGACCTCTGTAAGGGTTACTGGCAAATCCCCCTGGCCAGGGAGGCTGTCCCCAAGTCGGCCTTCGTCACCCCGTTCGGTTTGTACCACTTTAAGGTCATGCCGTTCGGGATGAAGAATGCCCCCGCTACATTCCAACGCTTGGTGGACAGACTCCTGGATGGCTTCCAGGAGTTTGCCTGCGCATACCTGGACGACATAGCGATCCATAGTGAGACCTGGGAGGAACACTTGGCTCATGTGGGAATAGTTCTGGACCAGATTCGAGCCGCCGGCCTGACGCTAAAGCCAGAAAAATGCCACTTTGGAATGGCTGAGGTGCAGTACCTGGGCCACCGGGTAGGCTGTGGGAAGCAACGACCGGAGCCAGCTAAAATAGAAGCGGTCGCCAACTGGCCCACTCCACACACTAAGACCCAAGTGCTAGCCTTCCTGGGTACCGCTGGGTACTACCGAAGATTTGTACCAGAGTATAGCGCCATTGCCAGACCCCTGACTGACCTGACGAAGAAAAACCTTCCCCGACAGGTCCTGTGGTCTCCCCACTGTGAAACTGCTTTCCAAGCCCTCAAAACTGCATTGATTAATGCTCCTGTCTTGGCTGCCCCAGCCCCTAATCGACGTTTTATTGTCCATACAGACACTTCCATGTTCGGGCTGGGAGCTGTCCTCAGCCAAGTAGGAGATGATGGGAAGGAACATCCGATAGCCTACATCAGTCGAAAACTCCTACCCCGCGAAGTCAGTTACGCTGCAGTAGAAAAGGAGTGTTTGGCTCTGGTGTGGGCATTAAAGAAGTTAACCCCCTACTTATATGGACAAGAGTTCACTCTGGTTACAGACCATAACCCGCTAGTGTGGCTCAACCGGGTCACTGGGGACAATGGCAGATTGTTACGCTGGAGCTTATCCCTGCAACCCTTTAATTTTACAATCACCTACCGACCCGGGAAGCAGAACGGCAACGCCGACGGATTATCCCAGCAAACAGATCTCAGCCCAGCCTAACTCTACGAGTCTGGACAGCCTTAGTTCGCCCCGAAAAGGGGTCAGACGGTGTCTGCCAGAGTGTTCCACAAAGAGGGAGCATTGTTACAAAAGACTGAAACTAACTATGTTACTGTTTGCTAACCGATGGATACTGTTTGTCCCTGGCTAAGTTTAAAGCGAAAAGACGCACGAACGGATTATCCGAACCATTATAAAGGACTCATTCGTGATACGAACAGGGGACCCCCCAGAATTGGCGTGTGCCGCCACTTAACCCCGTCACCCCGCAAACTGCCGAACGCTCGACCACCCAGGCAGCGGCGGTTTGCGGTTAACCACAACGTAATTGATAAGCCTTGGGGCATCAACGTTCGCCTCTAAATACCGAACGGAATCCACTGAACTAACAACCGAACGACGACCCCCTACCGTGGGCCGCGTGGCGGTCATTAACTTGTGGTTGCTGCGGTTAACCGCAAGTCAAGTATCCTGCTACCAGGTGGCCCCATTCCCTTACCGAACGAGCCCCACTACCAGACAAACAGCGGGACTTCGCATGAACTGATGCCGAGTTTAGTTCCAGGAGTTAGACACGAAGTCCCGCTGCTCGCTAAATCAGCAGAAAACATGGCCGCCAACCAACACTCACAATCTCAAAATGCCGAAGGGACTTTATACAGCAGGAACAGTCCATTCTGTTCGTGAGATTAGAGCGCCATTCGCCTGTTTTATCTATACGAACGCGAGCCTTCAGCTGAATGGTAGAATGAATGGTTTTCCTGTAATAATGTATAAGTTATGGATTTTTATGTAGTTTTCTGGGACATAATAAAACGTGGTCTTTTGTGTGCTTGGAGATAATTAGATTGTAAAACCGTTGGCCTCATTATCTCCAAGCTGGGCGGGTACTAATTCAAATGATACAGTGTACTGTGATTGGTTACCTGTTTGTACTGTACCTGTATTCCATCAGGTCCACAGGGGGCTGTCCTTGGACCTGAGGAATCACATAAATTGCCATGCTATGTGCCAGTAAAGCCAGTTCGTTTTGACCCTCAACTTGCAGCCTCGACTCATGTTGTAGGGATCCGGGATATTGATGCTTATTTCGTGCTTGGGGATATTCTACACTTGCAGCTTGCTACCGAAAGACCTCCGTTCGACTCTCTACAGCGGGAACCAGGACATCCAAGCGATCAACCCTCCTGCTAGACCGGGGGCAATCGTAACAACGTCTGCGTGGGAGGAGGCGGGAGCCGCGAGGATGGGTCCGGAACAGGAAAGCAGGTTCCCAACTCTCACCAGCCACAGCAAGCAGTAGGTAAGAAACTGGCTTAATTTTTTAATGTGTGTGTGTGTAATGTGTAGTGTATCTGTGTGTGTATCTATGTGTTTATCTGTGTGTGCATCTGTGTGTCTCTGTGGGTGTATCTGTGTGTGTAAGGTGTGTGTATATCTGTGTGTATCTCTGTGTGGGTAATGTGTGTGTGTGTGTGTGTATCTATGTGTCGTGTATCTGTGTGTGTGTATCTCTGTGTGGGTAATGTGTGTGTGTGTGTGTGTATCTATGTGTAATGAATGTGTGTGTATCTATGTGTAGTGTATATGTGTGTGTAGTGTGTGTGTGTGTGTATCTCTGTGTGAATCTATGTGTAGGGTATCTGTGTGTGTAGTGTGTGTATCTCTGTTTGGGTAATGTGTGTGTATATCTATGTGTAGTGTATCTGTGTGTGTATATCTATGTGGTAATGTGTGTGTCTGTGTCTGTGTATCTATGTGTAGTGTATCTGTGTGTGTAGTATGTGTATCTCTGTGTGGATAATGTGTGTGTAGCATGTTTGTGTAGTGTGTGTTTATTGTTGTGTGTGTAGTGTGTTTGTGTGTGTGTCGCTGTGTGTATAATGTGTGTGTGTATCTGTATATGTGTCAGTGTATGTCTGTATTTGTATGTCTGTACACAGATACAAACATTGCCACACATGCAGGTACAGACACACTGATACACATATTGACACATAGGCAAATACATAGGCACAGTGCATAGGTAAGTGTATTTGCTTCAGTGCACACACAGACACATGCCACATCCCCAACACACACACAGATACACACTGCACCCCCAGCACACACACATACATGCACTGCACCCCCAGCACACACACAGATACACACTGCACCCCCAGCACACACACATACATGCTTCACCCCCAGCACACCCACATAGACACACAATTCACCCACAGCACCCACCCAGACTCTTCATCCCCAGCACACACAG